CCGGGAAGGGCTGGGCTGGATGGGCTGGGCCGGGCTGGGCTGGGCTGGGCCGGGCTGGGCTGGGCTGGATGGGCTGGGCTGGGCCGGGCTGGGCTGGGCCGGGCTGGGCTGGATGGGCTGGGCTGGGATGGGCTGGGCCGGGCTGGATGGGCCGGGCTGGATGGGCTGGGCTGGATGGGCTGGGCCGGGCCGGGCTGGGCTGGGCTGGATGGGCTGGGATGGGCTGGGCCGGGCTGGGTTGGGCTGGATTTGCTGGGCTGGGCTGGGCCGGGCTGGGCTGGATTTGCTGGGCTGGATGGGCTGGGCCGGGCCGGGCCGGGCCGGGCCAGGCTGGGCTGGCATTCCCCGAGCACCTCCTGGACTCTGCTCAGGGCTGTCACGTTTCCCCGGTGCCAGGGAGTGCTGACACAGCGTGCCCAACCTGGCCAAGAGAGGCAGGGCCTCCTGCCCAACTGGGAATGGTGGAAATGATTGCCTGCAGATGCTGTCATGTGCAGATTTAGCAGCAGTGAGAAACCCAAGCACATTCTCCAGGTACAGCCAGGCTGGGCAGTGTGTGCAGGTCCTCAGTGAAAGGGCTGGGAATTCTCTCCTGGAGACCAACACAGAGATCACAGAGATCTCTGATCTGCACAGCGATCAGAGATCACAAGGCAGCAGAGGGATCTTTCGTGCCTGTGGAAAGCCATGAAAGCCCTGATACAATGGTCATGGGGAAGTGGGACCCCCCAGCATTCGGCACAGGACCCAAGGTTTGGATGATAGGACATCTAACCCTGTTACCACCCTTTCCCTCTGTCAGACATTGGGATTCATGCTTCATGTATAAAAGTGAACCATGTGCATATGATGAACCATTTGTTTCTTTGCAACACCACTCAGAGCAGACCTACTCTAAGGGCCTAAATGTATATTTACATGTGACACAGATTTCAGCACTGTATCACCCTGTTTGATCTTTCCATCTGCCTGTTCATCCCCTCTAAATGTTATCTAGGTTATAGCTGGGTCTCAGCTACCACATGTAGGGAAGGCAGAGATTCTACTCTCATACAACACTGCTTTCTCTGAAAAACACCATTTCAGCCTTAGCTACAGACCCAGATGGAGCAGGCAGTGACTCTGGTGTTGTGCAAATGGAAAAGTGCGTTTTGTGCTCCTGGTCTTCCCAGGAGAATTTTCACTTCATGTGACATTTTCTGTGCTGCCCTGCCACACCAAATGCTTTATCAGAGCTGATCCACCCAGGGATCAATCATGTTTCTCACCTTTCCCTGCATCCACAGGAGTCCCCATTACCCAGGCATGCGGGAGGGATGCTCAGGCTGACCCCGCGTGGCTGGGTAACCAGAGGAGGGCTGCAGGGATGGCGTGGCAGGGGGAGGGAATGTGCTAATCCTGGTCATGCCCTTCCATCACCTTCACGTGCTCCGGCAGCTGCGCGGAGCCGCCCAGCCCCGCATGCCCTGCCGTGCCCCGGTGGCAATGTCCCCATGGAGCCTGGGTGGCAATGTCCCCATGGAGCCCGTGTGGCAATGTCCCCATGGAGCCTGGGTGGTAATGTCCCCATGGAGCCCCTATGGCAATGTCCCCATGGAGCCTGGGTGGCAATGTCCCCAGGGAGCCCGGGTGGCAATGTCCCCATGGAGCCCGTGTGGCAGGGTCCCCATGGAGCCTGGGTGGTAACGTCCCCATGGAGCCCCTATGGCAATGTCCCCATGGAGCCGGGTGGCAATGTCCCAATGGAGCCCCTGTAGCAATGTCCCCATGGAGCCCGGGTGGCAATGTCCCCATGGAGCCCCAGTGGCAAAGTCCCCATGCAACCCCAATGGCAGTGTCCCCATGGAGCCTGGGTGGTAATGTCCCCATGGAGCCCCTATGGCAATGTCCCCGTGGAGCCGGGTGGCAATGTCCCCATGTGCCACCGAGGGGCCCGTGCTCACCGCTGCCAGCCCGAGTCCCTTGGAGCACTGCAGCCGTGTCATGGGCAATCCATGGCTGCGTGGCTGCCACCTGCAGTTGGAAACACAACCACTGGAACAGGTCAGGAACGACAGTCTGGAGGTGCTGCCTCTCCCAGGTCATCTGCAGGGGGAAAGGAAAAGGCAGAACGGTCGAGCTGGAAGGGAGAAAATGTGGAAAAATGGATTCTGTGATAGAGGAGGTGAGCAGCTCCTGTGGGAAAAGAGGTAAAAAAAGCTGGGAAAAATCCAGCTTGTGGTTTTGGAGACATAAGGAAAGTCACTCTGGGGATGGATGTTCACTAGACCATCACAGCTATGCAAAATTTGAAAAGCCATGGTCCGGAAACAGGGCTTTGGGGACAACTGGATACAAATGGACTGTTGGGCTGCTTCTCGGGCCATGTGGAGACACGGATTTTGTATTTTGTTGCTTAGCATTCGTTTTTGTTTGTCAGCTCCAGAAAGCTGCTTTCCCACAGCCTTGTCTCAGGACCGTGGGGTGCAGGAGCAAACTGGGGCTGTTGACTTTCAGACTACTCAATCATCCTGCCAATTACAGCCAGCCCAGAAGAAAAACACAGCTCTGCATATTTCCTTTTTTAGGTAGAAGTGTTGGGAAAACAACACGAGATTTTGTTTCTGATAAACTAGGAGCTGTTTCAGGAATATTAATTATTTTTCTTGTATCAATATTTTACATTTATTCCTCTGCTATGGTATTGGGACTGAGATGGATGAAGCCTACAGCATGGTTTCAGGCCTCTGAAAAAAAATTTTAAAAATAGTGCTGAAATTTTGATGTCAGAAAGGTTTATTTTCTGGTTATTTTAGCCTGGGGTATGGAAGATGTGGGCTCTATTCTCTGCCCCATGTAATCCCTTTGCAACATCACTTGGAGTCATATTCTTAAAAAGTTTCTGTATGCCTAAGGAAGGGGCTTAAAGGGCATCTGAAGGTGCTGAGGCACCTGAATAATTTTTAATTTCTTGTGTACCACCTCTGTAATCCTTCATCTCCCAGACCTTCCCACTGGTGGAAGGCTGCAGGAGAGATTTTGCTGCTTTATAGTTGTACTATGAGGAGAAATTCTCAGTCTGGGAGACGTTGGAGCCTCCAAAGACACACGTGTGATTTTCAATAAGGAAGTGAGGATGGAAGGAGTGGAGCCATCAGGGGATTTTTATCCTTTGTGTCCAACCTGAGCTGGGTGCTTGGTGCTGGGTTTGGGCACACCCTGGGTTGGAAGAGCTTTTCTTTCAGAGGTGATTGAGGCCTGGAGAGAGCTCACCCAAGACTGTCACAGTGCATCTGGGATTTAAGCCTCGGTCTGTGCGTGACCCAAAAAACAGGACACGGAGTAGGAGCTCAGCCAGGTCCCTCTAACCTGGTGGGAAACCTGTCTGTGAACCAATGTCCCACATCTGCACCAGAACTGAGGCTGCTTGGGACTTCAGTCTGCACGGAAACAGAGGTTGTGTAGATGGTTTTAGGGCTGGATCACCTGTGTGTGATGTCCTTGGGACAAAGACCTTGACTCCTTTGGGGTGAAATGGCTGGGAAACGTTACAAAGAGGTGTTTTACGCATCATCCCCTGAGATGTCGCATGAAGATGAGCTCTCGTTCTGCTGCAAGTTAAGAGTGATTTTGTCAGAAGGCATGGCATGAACATGACCATGTAGATTAAGTCCTGAAGGTTTCCCTCAGTCAACACCGTCTTTGAAATCAATGAGGCTGAAGTTATTGGCTGATAGGAGGAGTCGTCCATCTGGGATTTCTCAGCTGAAATTAACTTTAATGATAAAAATGATGATATAAATATGTTAAATACAGAAACAGTGCTGTCAGCCGCTCTGTTTCTGGCTCAAGGGGTTTATATGTTTAGTCTTACATGTTTCTCACACTGATTTTGTGCATCAAGATTTGATGTTGTCAGGAACCACTCAGTAAAAATATTTAGTAATAACAATAAAAATAGAGGGTGTGATTTCATAATCCTAACAAAACAGATAAGACAGATGTTCAAACTAATTCTTGGCTTGGGTTTAGGTGTTCTCCTGGTGCCTATCACATTGAACTAGTACTGAGACAACTTAGTTTTCAAGGAGGTCTTCATGCTGGGGCATATCAAGTAAGAGATCTAAGAAACTATAACATCAACAGTAATGATATTTCTTTTGAGATACAGAAAGTTTAGCCATTGAGGCAGTATTTTTTCTTGTCGTTTGTTTAGTCTGTTTGGCGAATTCTGCCAGGTTGGTTTTGATCCTGTATGAAGAGTGATTTGCTGTAAGAGCGGATGCATCAGCCGAGTCGCGCTTCAAAGTAAACAATAAATAACTGTAACAGTTAATATAAGGAACTGACATCTCCACAGTTTATTTTCCGCTTGGTTTAGTTTAGTTCAGGCCAGCTTCTTTCTGGCATCATTTGCATCCGAGCAGAGAGATCAGAGCGGGGCAGCGTGCGCGGTGGGCTCCCAGGGCCGGGGCAGAGAGAGGGGCGCAGTGGGTTCCGGGCTGTGGGCTCGGGGTCTGCATCAGAGGGGCGCTGTGGGTTCCGGGCTGCGGGCTCGGGGTCTGCATCAGAGGGGCGCTGTGGGTTCCGGGCTGTGGGCTCGGGGTCTGCACCGCCGCTGCGGTTCCGGGCTGCGGGCAGGGCAGCGCTCGGGCACGGCGGTGTCGGCCCCGCCGCGCTCGGCTGCGGACGCGCTGCCCGCTCCCGGCGCTCCGCGCCGCCCGCAAAGGGTTAAGGGGAGCGGGCCCGGCGGAGGGCGGGGGCTGCCGGGGCTCCGGGGATTGGTGCGAAGTTTGCAGCGGGCCGGCCCCGCACCGCCTCCCTCCGCGGCGGCTCGGCCCCCGCCGCCACAAAGCCCTGCAGGGAAAGTTGCTTTATCGCCGGGTTCTCTCTCTCTCCCCGGCTCTCCCCCCCCTCCCCTCCCCTTCCCCAGCCCCTTTCCCCTCCTCCCCTCGCTCCTTAAACGGGATTCCGGCTGGGCCAGCCGCCGGACGGCATCACCGGGCATCCCGCGGCGCGGAGCCCCGCAGGCTCTGGCAGGTCCCCGCTGTCCCTCCCCGCACACACACGCTCAGCCCGGCCCGGAAAGCAGGAAAAAAAAATTTACAAGGTTTCCCCCTTTCCCTGACCTCCTCGCCCGTGACTCCCGAGTGGAAAAAAAAATCGGGGGCGAAGGGGGGAGGTTGTTAAAAGCCGGTGAAGGGGCAGAGCCGCTCCGTGGGGAGCGCAGCCCGGGCAGCCCCGCCGCCCCGGGGAGGGGGGCATGAGGTAGAGGCCGGCGGCGGAGCGCCCGCGGGGCGCCGTGGCCGCGGAGGGCATGAGGCGGCGAGCGGCGCGGATGGGCTCCAGCGCGCGGTGTTAGAGCCCGCAGCAGCCGAGGTAAGTGTGCCCGCACCGGGACACCGCACCGGGACACCGCACCGGGACACCGCACCGCCCGTGTCCCGCACAGCTGCGAGCCCCGGGGCAGCACCAGCTGGCATCGCGCCGGGTGTCCCCCCGCTCGTCCCTCCCTCCCTTCCCGACCCCGGTGCCGGCGGTGAATCTCCCGTTAGCGCCGAGCCCCGGGCAGCCCCGGCGGCCCCGCTGCCGCGATCGGCGCAGCGAGCGGCGGAGCGGCCGCGCTCGCCGGGCTGGATGCTGTGCGCGGGTTGTTGTGTGTCCTGGGGGCACGGGGCGTTTAAAGCGGGGAGTTTACAAGGGTGAGGAATCCAGACGGTGTTTAGAGAGTGAGAGTTTTAGCAGGAGAATGGGGTGTAATTAATGTAAACCTGATCTTCCCCGGGAGTGCGTATCGCAGCGAAGGCATCTTCAAGAATCTGGGTAATTGAGTGCGGTTGCGCTTTGGGACGCACCTCTGGAGCCCACGGAAACAAGTGGGGCTGTCGGTGGGGAGACGGTGCCGGGGATGGGTGGGGGAAGAGGAGGAAAGGAGGAATCAGTGCTGTACAGAGAAGTCTCGGAGTGGAGCAAGGCGCGTACCCAGAGCGGAGCCTGGCTGAGGGGCACTGGAGCAGCAACACAAAGTTTTCTGGGCTGCTGATGGGAGAGGTAACATTCCTCCTCCCCCTTCCACCAAGTTCCTCCGCAAATTGTTAACCTGAAATCTTGTTTTATGGCCACTTGCTAGCGTTTTGTTTGCCTTCCAGACTGGTTCTGTACAGGATACTAAAGAATTATGCATTAACTGTAAACTTAGAGGAGCTTACTGGCCTCAGTGGGTTCTTGATTTATATCAGTCTAAAGCAGAGAGGAGGGCAAAGTTTTACTCACTGAGCACCAAGGAATGAATTACAAGTACGTTGCTGTTTCATTTGCTGTTTCTTCTTGCCAGTCTTCTCAATAGGAGTTAAAACTCCGCAAAGTTGAGGGTTGTTCAGGGTTTTTTTCCCCCCAGTAACTATTTTGCTCTCCTTTTTCCAGCCTCCAGGTCTGAGAGGACAGTAGCCTGTGCGATACGGCGGGATCTGGTTTTCAAAATGGAATTGCAGCTGGCGCTCCTTTTGGCAGGGATAATTGCGTTTTCGGACTCAGCGCGAGGTAAGGGGACCGCGCTTGGTGCGCTCGCCCTGTGGCTCTGTCCCTTCCCTCTGCTCCGTGGGCTCTGCTAACACCTGGAGGGACCCCCCAGGGGAGTTGCTGTCAGCAGGGACTCGTCCCCTGCACGTTTTTTATCTGCACAGAGATCCAGGCTCGTGCCCACGTGTGCCCCTCCTTACCTGCGAGGTGTGGGGCAGCGTTTGGGATGGAGCGCGGTCGCCGCGGCTGTGCTGAGGTCTGTCAGGCACAGGTGAACTTCCAGGGGCTTTTCTGGTGCCTGTGTAAAAATACACAGACAATTTTAAAGAAAAGCAACTGCATTCCTCTGTGGATCAGAAATACCTCTCCCCTCCTGTAATCCCTCCAGCCCCTGCCCTGTGTATTCCCACTTACAAACTAAACAAACACATCCATTAACCGCCCCGGTGACAGACAAATGACAGTTCCCAACAGCGAGAGCGTATTTTAGCGCCGAGGCTCCAGCAGTTGATCAGATTTCAATAAACAGGTTACCCTTCCAGAGGCAAATTGAAATACATTGACCTGGGAATGATGGGGGTAGGAAGAAAAAGAAGTTTCTTTATGGCAAGGTGCTGTTAGCAAAGCTCTGGGATCAGAGTGCAAGGAGCGGTGGCGCTTCCTGCACTTTGCCTGTGCTGTACCGTGGTGGGTGCTGTCCTTGGAAAGCCTGAATGGGAGTCCAGGATTTCAGCTCCCCCGCCTCTGGTCACAAAGTAGGGGCTGCATTGTTCCAGGAGAACAGGGGTACAACTTTAGGATGCAGATTGCTCCAGCTGCAATTCCCAACAGTCTCAGAGTTTTGTGAATTGTTGTAAAACCTTGAAGTCGTCCAGTGTGAAGGACTTCCAAATTAAAAGGTTTAAACTTGCCCTTCACTTGGGCTGTAACTTGCCAAAAATAAATCTTGGGGGTGAGGGTGGGAAAGGAGAGGGGGAGAATTACTCTGAAAACTCAAGTTTGGTTTAGTGCACTGCTTTTTTTTTTTTCTTTTTGGCATTGGCTCTCAAGCAAATATTTTATGGAGGCAAAAGCACTATAAAATGATTTGGCTGGAAGCTGAATGAAAAAGAAAACAGTATATAGGCTGTAATTCCTTCAAGTCTGAATTCCAGGCAAGGCTTACAATGGAGACTCAGTTTAAGTTGTGGGCGATGGGCAGCAGTGTGGGAATTAAGATGACTTCATGGATGTATTTTATTGCAATGGACCTGAGAAGTTGGTGGAGTTCCGGAAAAGATCTGAAGTGGGCAGGAGAAGACAAAAAGATTCTTGTCTCTGATGTGAGCTGAGTATCGGCTCCTTTACTGGCTGACCGTGTTTAAATTTGGTTTGCAATTGTCTTGCTCTTACACTTACTGCCCCTGGAAAGAGAAGCACTGTGGGCTGTTGTCATGTGAAGAAGTGACAGAAAATTAACAGCAGTAATTTCAGGACATCATTATTTTTCTTGTGGAAAGGTCTTTTAAATATAACTTTGATAGGATCATATTGGTAATTGGATTATTTGAACACTTTTCAGAGCTGGAAAGACCCATGCTGTAAGTGTATGGAGAGATGGTTCTGGTTGTTTAAAATGAACAAGAAATAGAGGTTAAAAGCCAGGGCCAAACCCATGAAAAATGTCATTCATTCGTGTGCTGCTTTAAGAGAGGGGAGGCAGAGAAGGAAAAGGAGTCATTGCTGTGAAAACAGAGACAAAATTCTGACATTTAAGTCCTGCTTTAGACCTCCTTAAGAAGGAGAACATTTTTGATAGTGAAGGACGTAGATGGAAGATCAAACTTGTGAGCAGAGATGAGACACTTCCCAGAACTTTGAAACTTTGTGCTGACAGATATCTCCAATTGTTAGGTGTTTACACTGGGATAATTTCAGGTTCTTGGAAAAACGTGCCAGGCTTTTCGTGTGCCTGCAGAGTTTTTCTGAACGCCTCGTCCGAGGGCTTTGGCCGCTGGGGATGTGTGAGCGTTACCTGCCGCAGTCGCTCAGGTTTTATAGGCAGTCCTTCGGCCAAATCTCAGCCTGAGGTCGTGAGGCTCTCCTCTGGAGGAGGAAGGGCTCTTTGCTTTGGCCAAGCAGCATTTCATACCTGTGTGCTGACTGCGGGTTAGACACGCGTGGCCTGAAGTGTGCCGGCACCTCCTGATCCGAGGCATCAGAAGTTCAACAGGCGCTTGCTGGCTGGCCATCAAGTGAGGAAGTGGCTGAGGAGGTGCTCTGGGAAAGTGATGGTGCTTCTTTTCTTTTCATTTTAGGCAAACGTAGGTTGTGCTGTAATCGGGGGGTTAATTTGGAGCTGACTGAATGCTGAGCCCGTGCTTGGGGAAGGGCTGTGCCGTGGTGCATCTGCACCAGGGGGCAGAGTTAAGTTGCCCACGCACTCCAGCTTTGATATTTCCTGACAGTTGAATGCTCAGCTGCAATCTTGCATTAAATGTTGCGTTGTATTATTTTTACATCTTTATTTAGGTGACACCTTTTAAGGCGAAGGGCCCTGCAGGAATGACTGATTGGGTTTAGCCAGCAGGGTTTTTTTTCCCACCTCCCAGCAAAAAGGGGCGTTTTTCCAGGGTCGGATCTGTGCCTGCTGGATCTGTCCCACCAATGGATCTCATCACTGATGTAGAAGACACTGTCAAAAAGGGAATATCTTAGCAAACCAAGATAAACTCTTAAGAAAGAGGGAGTACGTCTGAAGTATCCCAGGAAAACAGAGAGCAGGTCTGATTTTGGAGCTACAGGTGGTAGAACTGTGTTTGAAGGGATTAGGGGTGAGGTATCTCTGCCTGTGTTTGAACCAATGCTTTTGAGGTTGAAAATCTTTGACTAAGGTCTTGTGTACACCTGTAAATGCACTGGAATAACCCTTCCAAAAAACTTAGTCTGGAATAATTCTCAGTGGCCAATCTTATTCCAGGCTAGGGATCTCCTGTACCAAAAAATCTTCCTCGGGAGCTATCTTGGTAGATATCCAAGCCCCTTCTTTCCCTTGTGGCTGAAGACTAGAACATCTGTGTGCTCTAAACCCACTCTTGGAGAACCAAACCTGTGCGCTGTGGTTTTCTAAGAGGGACTGTGCCTTCCAGCTGAGCATGGGGCTTCAGCCTGGCAGCTTCAGCTTGGTTCTCAGCCTCGGCAGATAATGTCTGCTCTGCACCTGGGATAGCAGTGCAGGTCCAGCAGCTCATCCCTGCTGTTATTCCATTCCTGCTCCCTCCAAGCAGCCCCATACTGGGCATAAAAGTCTTCAGTGTCCTGTGCTGGCTCTCCTCTGCAGGGATTAATGCCGTCCTGGGTCACTAACCTTTAGTGACTATGTCCTGCAGCAATGTAGCTCCTGCCACGCCACACCTCCAGCTGGACACAGGTAATACAATCTGATATTTTCCTGCCTGCGTTATCTCAGTGACCGACAACGCAATATTTGTTCCAAATCTGTCAAGTTGCCATCATATTCGCCTTGGTGACCGTATATGGTAACGTTGGGATGTGCCTGGCTTGGTCCCGTGGCTTGAGCAAGATTTTGCATGGTTTGTTTAGAAGTTTTTGGTAAGAGCAGTAACCACCCTCCTGTTAGCAAGTAAACTGATATTCTGCTGGAAACTAATTAGTTTGGATGTTGATTTCATTTTCGGTGCATTGCGTAGGGAGGGGAAGAACGGGACCTTAATTGCTTTCTGTTCTGGCACTTCTCTGAGCGACCTGGGCTTGCAAACCTGCTTGGTGTCTGCTTCACAGGGAATTTGCTGATTGGGCCGCATCAACATTCCATGGTTTCGTGCAGAAATAATGTTATGTGCCATTTTGGCTTCTCTTAATATTGAAGAAAAGGGAATTGGTTGCTAGAGGTGTTTTTTTTTTTATTTCTTGTAAGTTGAGTTCTTCGTTCTGATGAACAGAATTCCCATTCTGTAACTTTAGGGTTTATAAGAGTCCTTCAGTAAGCACAGAAAATATAAATGATGGTAATGTGACAGAGATGGTTACTGGCTTCTATTTTACACCTTTATTCTTGTTGAGTGGTTGTTACCAGATAGAACGATTAGGTAATTTCTCGCTTGTGAAAGAGAAGCATGTTCAGATCTAACAGCCTGATTCAGATTTTATGGAAGTCACAGCACATCTTCTGGAGAAATTTGGGGCATTTTTTTGTACATTGCTCTTGGGGAACTTGCTCATTAATAATCTGTCAGCATGACTTGTACCTAGAGTCAACATGAAGAGCTAAGAAAATCCTGGTTATTTTTTTAAACGCTGGTTCCTCCCTTCTTCTGAGGCCGTCGGCCGCTTTAAATTGTGGCGGAGTTTAAACATAAAATTCAATGTGCGTCATACTGGAAAATTAGGGTTGATTTTATTTGTTTTTAATTAGGAATATTACAAAACTCAGCAAATTGCTGAAATACATCTAGATTTTCCCTAAAGTTTTTATAACTCTGTTTTCCAAGTCCATATGTTTCTTTGACCTTCATTAAAAGACGCAAGCAGCAAATCAAAATGTCTCTTTGCTGGGATGAACTTGCATGCAGCAAAGGCTGGACTCCAAAGCCTGAGTCTTAGCCACAGAAGCAACTTTCATATGCCATGAGGTGGGGCTTGAGATATTACAGGAAAGTGTATTTTTCAGGAAAAAAATATAATTTGAAATTGAGAAAGAAGTGACACTTGCTAACAAGTAGGAACTCCTTTTTCAAGATTTGGGGCCATTAGTGCCAATTTATTAACTAAAGGTGAAGTTTTTCATTTGACATGAATTGGCTGATAGAGCTGATCTTTTCCAATATCCTCTCTGATAATTCCTTTTTGAGTGTCTGTCTCACCATAAGTGACGCTGATACATCTGGGTGCACATCACTCATCACGGAATACTGTGAATTCCATGTAGTAGTCTGCCTGTGCATTTTTAGATTAATTACTGGGAGAGATAAAAATTTCCATTGAAGGTGGAAAATAACAATGCAGAGATCCTCTTGCACCTA